TTTCGGAACCACAGCATAAGGCTATCGCCTTCTCTACCGTCGAACTTATCGACTTAAATTTGTATGGGTTTTGGTCTGCGGACCACTTCTTGCGCCATAGTCGCCACGGGCGAAGGCGCAGAAGGAGGCATCTGTGCCTTTACATGCTCGACTACAGCTTTGTTAAATTCTTGAAGCATATGAATACGCTGTTAACCTCTCTTCGCCCTGGGCGATAAGGAGTTCCACGCCCTTAGAGCCAAGGATAGGGAGCAGCTTCTGCAACCCTTCCTGTTGTGCCTGTGAAAGGCCAATCGCTGACATCTCGTCAATGCCCATTCTCACACAGAGAATGTAGTCGCAAACCCAGGTACAGGATTGACTACAAGTGCTACCAGGTGTAGCCGAGCTACTGTAGCCACGCTACTTATGCACTTTGTGCAGATGCACTATGTGCAGAAGAAGTAGTCAAACTACTGTAGCAAAGCTACTTATGCACTATGTGCAGAGGAAGACAAGCTCAGAGAGCTTCTACGCCTTAGGGTGTTTAACCCTCTTAGGCTAGCTCGTAAGCTTGTGCCTATCGGTTGTTGTAACCGTGTCTCAAAGAGACTAGTATCAAAGATACTTAATTTCTTAGAAAGGAATAGTACGCTCAAGCAGTGATGCGTTATAGAGCATTGAAATTAATTTATATTTGTTTATCTTCTAACACTAAATATATAAGCACCTAACCTATACTTAGTGCTAGTCACTATTGCTGGACCTGTAGCCTGTTATTATTATGCAAACATGCATAGTCACTATACTTTAAATAAATATAGTGACTACGTGGCACACGATGCGACCCCTCGTACTTCAGGTACGGTCACATCAACCTACTTTTTATCAATGTACAGCCAGACCACATTGTTGTGGCAGGTGTGTATTTAAAATACACACCTTCGTGTAACCCCGTTACAAGTGAAGCCTCTTCGGAGCTGAACGTCGGAAGTCTGTTACCGATACGCTCACGCATGATTGCTGGATAATCACCAGTAGCAATCGGCATTAAAAAGCCAACCGAGGCTGAACTGCATTTCCAGCTCTACCGCTTCCGCGTTCAAAGCGTCTGACTCATCAAGCGGGTAGCCGAACTCGGTACTCAACATGATGCCAATGCGAGCACCAGCAGCGATGACATTCCTTTCATCTCCTTTCAATGCACGGAAAACTGCTACTGCTCTAGCATGTGACAGCAGCACGTTGTGTGCCACCGTGTATATATTCATGTCCGACGGCTTCTTTGCGCCAGAAACAACATCACGCGAGCCGTACTTGCCGCTAATGAACGTCAACGGCTCGTCAAATGTGGCCCAGTACTTGACCTTTTTTCCAAATTCTCGGAACGCTAGCTCCGCAAAGTCTTCAAAGTGTGTTACAATGTCTGGATTCAGCCAGCCGGTTGGCTCCAGTTTTGTCTGCAACATTAACGGTAGATTGAACTGGTAGAGTGTTGCAATTGGTTGCAGTGCCTTTGCCTGCATATCGTCAAGTAAAGCGTGATAGGACGTAAGGCCTTGAGGATTGGGCTCCATTCTCCTTGTTTCTGCATTCCAGATCATGATTCTTGACCAAGAGATAGAAAACTGGAAGGACGACAGCCCCATGTCACTCATGCGCTGTATGTCGTCACGGTAGTGATGAAAAAAGTTTTCACTCATGTCGTCGTATTGTAGATTGTACTGCGAGTAACAGAAATGATCCCAATTGCCCAAGTCTTGACTGGAAACATTCCAAGCGGGATATACAGCATTGATCATACCAAAGAGAGTATTGGATGGAAAACAGCGCACTTCGGAGGCTTCAATTGGAGCGATAATGCAAAATATGATGACATCAAGACACATAAACAGAAGGAGAGAGTGCAGCATGAAGACTTATAGTGGAACGAAAGGGTGAATGATCAATTATTTGACCGGGATAAGATCAGATGAAGGTGGTGAAGAGGTATGACGTATACCGGTACTCAAAACCGGTATTTATAATTCATTCATGATAATAAGATCAAGAGATCCCAGATAATTTACTTGAGTTGCTGTAGGGTATACGATGTGGTTAGTTTACATATGTCCTTTCATACGGATATATTCGACAAAGAGACGGAAATGAATATACATGAACAGTATAAAGGTATCTCTATTAGTACTTTATTGTTATTTTCTCCTTTTTTATTCGTTATACCGGTAACAATATTATGGCACCTCGGTTCGCTTTCCATGCAAGGTAAATAGTAATTGCTTTTATAAAGTCATATTGAACGTGTATATGTCTCTCTCTACCTCTTTCTCTCTAACTGTATGTTTTTATGCTGCTAAGTAAATTCCGCAATATCGAATGCCACCATTTTCCTCAAGAGCAAACTTTTACTCAATTGCAAGTATCAGTGGATACCAATATCGTCACAGCCACGTCGTCTCATTTTGCTTTTATTCACCAATTCAACAATAGCGGTACTATTCAACTGAAACGACTTACTGAGACAGGGAAAGAGTCAGTTACTACTATTCCAACACTAGTGCATGCCCATCCAACTGGACGTATTACAGCTTTGACCTTTTCTCCTATTCATCAAGATTTATTATTATCTGCAGGTGATGCAAATGCTACAGTAAAGGTATGGAAATTATCAATGATTGAATCAATAAAAGAAGATCTTGTAGTACCGATGACGGTATTTCAACAGGAAAAAAACGTCGGGATTGTAGCAGGAATTATACCACATCCAACAGCTGAATCAGTCGTAGCAACGTACGCAAGACCAGGAACAGCAAGAGTCTATGATATACAGGCAGAAACATTATGCTTTGAAGTAGCAGTAGAGGAAAGTACAATCTTGAGCTCTATGGCGTGGAATTGGGACGGCAGTGCAGTGTTAGTAGCGACACAGGATCAAGCGGTGAGGATTTTGGACCCACGTGTGGATCAAATGTCGACGCCTGTGATTGAAGCTGCTCATACTGGAAAGAAACATTTGAGTGTGCTTTGGTGTGGACGAATGCAGCATTTTTTAACATGTGGAAGCGATCGGATGCAGGAGCGAGAGATCAAGCTATGGGACCCAAGACAATTGGCTAAGTGTGTACATCGTGAAAGGCTGGATGTGGGAGGTATGGGCCAATTGTTTCCGTTATATGATGCAGATTTGGATCTATTGTATGTACTTGGAAAGGGGGGATCACAGTGCGAGAATATATGAAATACGAAGCTCGAATGTGCATGCACTGGATCAAAGTGCATTGGGCAACATGACGCTTGCAGCGACGCTACTGCCAAAATCGGTGTGTGATACAAACGTTTGTGAAGTTGCACGCGTTCTAAATCTCAGCGCAAACGGAAACAGTCTTGGTGGTAGCTGCGAAGTCCTAAGCTACCGGGTACCTCGGAAAGAGGCGACGCATACGTTTCAGAGTGACTTGTACCCGGACACATTGACAGCACAAGCTGCGATAACGTCTGAAGAGTGGCAACAAGGACGGAATGCTGAGCCTAAGTTGCGTGCTGTGATCCCAAGTGCGAAGCGGGTTGAGGACATGGACGGAAGTGTGTTTGGAAGACTGACGGCAAGTGCATCTGCATCATCGGGTTGGAGCGCACCAGGTTCGAATGCCGGTACTGCAACCAATGGGTGGCAAGCTTCAGGTTGGGGCCAGGCGTTGTTGTCAACAGCGTCATCAATTACGCCGTCAAAAACAGCATCTGATGCCAAGACAGGGTGGAGGTCAAATACAAAAAAGTGGAACGAGGCCGAGTCTAAGAACTCTGCTCCATCGATGCAATGGCGAACTTCTGTTCCTACCGATGCTACTGTTACGCTACCGATATCTGCAGCAGCCCATGGCACACTCAATAGTACAGCCACCACTTCACTATCTATCTTGACGGATGGATCTAAAGGATCAAAGACAAAACCTGACGAACCACCTCCTACGGCCCTCGCTGCTATGGCACCCAACGCATCATGGACAGGGACATGTCACATGACAACTGCAGATGCAATCAAGTTGTCGGACAAGGCGCAGCGTCTCGGCGCCAGATACGGGCACAAGCTTAAGTATTTGCAAGGTAACGAAGCATCACGTAACGACGTGTTTCATTTTGGTGACAAACATGTCGTATATTCGACGCAAGCATCGCCTGTGATTGCTGCGAACGCAACATTTTGGGCAGCACCTATTGCTGGTGCGGGCGGGCCTGTACTTGTGGAAACGCTTCGAGCGACTGGGAAGGCACAACATGGCGCTGTGCCAGTGATTAACGGGCAGAAGGCAGAAGTGTCTACACTGACATTTAACCCTTTTGCTGACAACGTGCTTGCGTCCGGGTCCGCTGACTCAACTATCCAGCTCTGGAATCTTATGAAAACAGATTTGGATAGATTTCACGCACCGAGCACTCCCTCGCTAACGCTATCGGGGCATAGGAAAGGCCTGAGAGCTATTCAATTCAATCCAACAGCGGCCGACGTTTTATGCTCAACAAGTCACGATCTCTCACTGCGCTTTTGGGATATCGAGGCGGGACAAGAAAAAATGTGCGTGGAGGGTAAGCTGGACGATCTTGCGTGGAACATGGCGTTCAGTAATGACGGTGCGATGTTGGCCACTGCAAGCCGCGCTAAAATTGTCCGTGTGTTTGACCCTCGCCAGCCTGAGCATGCGTTGGTTAGTATGGGTTGCGGCCACGAGAGCAATAAACCACAGTTTGTTTTCTGGGCAGACTCCACCCGTCTGCTGACATTTGGTATGAATAAACGCAACGAGACGCAGGTCAGTTTCTGGGATTCGCGCAGCCTGTTGGAGCCTCTGGGCGTGTCGGTGTTGGTAGATCCGGCAGCTAGCACAACGACACCAATTCCGTTATACGATGCTAGTTCGCATTTGCTCTTTCTTGTGGGCACAGGAAGTCGCCACATTTGGAGTTACGAAGTTGACCCGGTCGTTACAATGGTGCAACCTAATTTGCCATTCATGATGACTGGTACCGACACCATTGGCGGTGTTGCACTTCTTCCAAAGACTACCTGTAACGTTCGCGATGTGGAAGTGGCACGGTTGCTCCTGGCAACGCCAAACGTCGTTAAGCAAGTGACATTCTCTCTACCCCGAGCAGAGAGGTTGAAAGAGTTTTTCCAAGATGACGTTTTTGGCTTTGTTTCTAAGCAAGAACCAACAGTGACTGCTACACAGTGGTTCGCGGGCGAGTCTGGAGCTCCTCTTTACGAGTCCCTTCGACCTGATGGTACGTCCCGCACCGTATAAAACGAATAGGTTGGATTGCTGATTTAGAATCGTTGACCTCTTGTATTTCTGCGTCCTTATAACAGGCATGGTGCTGCTCTCGGAGAAGCCAAAGGAAGCTGCGCCAAAGCGTCCCAAGACCTTAGATTTTCAGGCCCGAAGGCAACAGGAGGAGGAGAAAGAACGCCAGAAAGCCGCTGAATTTGCTCGACTAAGTGTACGTTGTCGAAGTTTGACGTCGCAAATGCTGTAGCTGTTTTGACATGTTGTTGCATAAAAATGCTGCAGACTCTTGCCGCGCAGCCGTCACTGCATCCCACCCGGCAAAATGTAGTCAACCTACACGCGCCTCAAAGTGCAGAAGACAGCGACGACGACTGGGACGACTGAAGAAGATAACGGAGGAATAATCAACGCACAGGAAACCCGCTTTCCAGGATCACAAACCCGGCAATTTCGATTATACCTTACAACGCCGCCGCACAACTTGCGCCTGGACTAATTTTTCTCTTGCTGCTTCCCTCCCTTACAAGAAATAACTTGCCAAACTGGAAGCTGCTTTCTACCACAAACACTGATAATTGCCTGCTACCGTACAAAACTTTCGTAAAGTTGCTTGCAAACGCGCGTAAAGTACTTTGGTTCCTGTCTTGAGACCAGCTCAATCACACTTGCGATAGCATCGCCCGACACCTACACAAAAGAATTACGCAATAGAGCAGCACCGCACAAATTACCACCACGGATATGAGGAGCAACTGTAGTTTAGAGATAGAACATACCTGGCCGTGTGACACCTGCACTGCTGTTTGGTAGTCGGTATATGGGTATACAGGAAGAAGAGAGAATCCGACGCTGAACTGGATACACTCGACGTCAATATGAGAAGCTGCAGACAGGAACTTGAGGAAGTCAACCCAAAGCGTGCTTTCCTCTTCATTATAGCGCATACTAAAGCGGGTCGATAGCTCACGCAGCTCCTTTAATAAACGGAAAGATCGGTTAATGAAATGTTCCAGGACTTGCAGCTTTGACAACATGTGTCCATAGTTTTTGTCTCCAAAAACAGAATCGTCAGCAATTTGAGAAATGTAGTGAGGATCCAGTAGCAGTCGCTGAAGCACCAGAACAACGTCGCTTTCATATGGAAGGTACATACTTTGCTCTTTGTGTTTGAGAAATTCGTTTGTTTTGATCAACGCAGATGTTCCAGCAGTCACAGACGACCCCATATGTACATCCACACAAAGCTCTACATCAAACAACACGTCTTCGAACCGAGCACTCAATCGAAGAACTGAAGCTGTCGCCTCGCGAATCTTCCACGCGCTCATGCTTTCCTGGATCACAAGCATTTCCTCTGTCGCTAGTACCTCCTGTTCGAAAAGGAGCGCTGCTTCCGAAGTCACCGGCTCCAGTTCTGCCGCTCGTCCCTCAAGAACCTTCAATCGACTTTGTAACACCGACTCCTCTAGCGACAGTGACGAGCACTCCTTTTCTAGATCTTTTACGGCAGTCGCGTAATCGTCATGAGCACCTTGTTGTTCCTCAATTGCGTCCAAAAGAAGAGCCAATTGTTCCTCACGATCAATCATCTCTTTTACAGCAGCCAGCTCATTTCGACGCTTCAAGGCGCCAGCAGACACATAGTCTTTCAGCGACTTCACATCGCTTGCCAACATATCCGCACCAACGGACAAGGTACTGGCGAGTTGTTTCTCCACCTGTGCCTGTAGCTGACACCAGCCAGTTTGAGCCACCATCGTTTCGGTTGCATACAGCTCTTGTATCGCTTCTCGACCTACATCATCTAAGTTTCCCGGACTAAAAACTGCTGGGGCTTTCATCTCAAGCAACGATGACAGCTCTTCACTCACAGCTTTAGACCATGTAGACATATCTTGGGCACAATGTTCGACCACCTTCGAGCATCTATCATACGCGCAAGCAAGCTTCACATTCTTTGATATCTGATTGTCGGATGAATAAACCTCCTCTCCAAAAAACGCATCGTTCATTTCCACTAATGCGTTCTGTTCATTCAAAGCAACGGATTCAAGAAGCTCATGCATTGTAACCAACTGAACAGAAAGAGCCTCGGAAGACACTGGACGCTGGGAATTGGCTCCAGCATCAGTGCTAACTCGGTCAAACTTGCTTTTCAGATTAACCTTGAGAGAGTCAAGGTTAACAGTATCCTCTTCATCGTTCTCGTCAGGATCAAGGCTCATCATACTCTGGCCTCGAGAAGAAGTCATGGTTTCGTCCTTTTCTTCAATCGGGTCCAGAGTGGCGTCTTGATCGTTAAACCTGAGGAAGGCGCCACCCGCCAAATTTCCCTCACCTGAGGCCTCAACCTCGTTGGCTAAGTCACCCAATGATCCAGGAAGATCGTGATGATCACGATCTTGTACCGATTTAGTTAGCTCATACACGGACGATTCCGCAAGAAGATGACCTAAACTGAACTCTGCAGTATCTTCATCACAAAGCTGACCCGCAGATAACGCTGATTGCTGTTCCGTGGCGTCGTTTTCGCGTCCTAATATGTGTGAATAATCATCCGTGATCTCCATGTCCTCTCCGGCTTCCGAAGATGCTGACGAGTCTACGTAAGACATGCCGCCTGTCTCAAGAATGTTTGTTGTCCGAAACAAGGAATTGTTGCTCTTTACAGACGGAGAACGAGAGGCGGTAGTTGCGCTATCGTTTGCAGTAGATGATGTTGCTGTTGCAGACACCGAATTCGACGTGTGACGGGTAACATTAATGGTCTCACGCCTGCGACGCCGAGCTACAGTCTGAGAATCAAGTGGACTGTAGCCTCGCATACTATGCCGACGACGACTTTTCTCCGTCGAGTTCTGCGCCAAAAAACTATTTCTCCGTGATTGCAGCAAATCAAAACCTGGCTTCTTGAGTTTTGTGACCTTCAAAACACTGGCTTTCATCGGCTCTTCGTCCTCATCAAGTGAGTCAGCCTTGTCAAGAATAGACGTGTTCAACGATGTTTCTGCGTCATCGGATTCTTCCTCTGGTGACGCCGGCGATTCCAATGGAAAAAGCCGCGAAGCATCCTTAGCTAACATGGGAGTCATTGACGTAGAAGGCGATCCATGGTTGAACTCGGCACCTTGTGACGGGCCAAAATTAACAGATTTATTTGGCGTTGTCTGTACAGGGTGGGTAGCATTGTTTTGCGGCAACTTGCGTGCGCTCAAAATTCCTTTTAGTGGAGTCCTGGTCTTCGGACCTCTTCGAGGAGGTGAAAGCAGGGAAAGCTTCGGATCTCGAGATAGTGGGAGCTCGTCAGGATATCTCTGATTGCTGCTGCTGCTTCTTTTGTGCTGGTCTTCAGCCTGGAAACTTAGCTTGGACCCTGCATGAAGAGATGAGTCTAATTCCATAGACTCTATGGTACGATCGTCATTAGTAGGTCGCACACGTTTCTCGGGGACGTCTTTAGAAGCATCCAAGTCACTAGCGCGCTTTCGTGACAATTCATTTGCTGGGTCCGTGGCTACCGCAGGAAAAGACTCCTGCGCATTCGTTAGCTCGAATAAACCGTTCTCGTCAATTGTTTGTCGACGATCTCCCTTTCGATCAAGCTGCAGAATGTCTTCCAGCACAACCAATGCATCACTCGGCTCAACAGTTGTCCGTCGCATAGAGTTGCTCTGTGTTTGATCGAATAATCCTGTGCCTTTGCCTTTTTTCGCTGGTGATGGCGACTTCCTGCCGTCAGCCGCTTTCACCGGCGACGACGATTTCCTACGTGAAAGACTCGGAGATTTCTTCCCTCTATACTTATCTGGAGAAGTGTTGCTCTCCTTCGATAATGTTGACACCTTCTTGTCGTTATTAAGTCGTGACGGAGTCGATGCCTTTACCTTTGACGATTTTCTCTGCTCTAAATGATAACTTTCATTATTTAGTGCGCCTTCCGTCTCCAGCGTTGAGCTACTCAGACACCTCATTTCTTTTTGCAAGGCTGTAACCACGGCTGCTGCCTCGTTCGGATCCAGTGTTGTTCTCCTCACCGCGTCTTGCTCAAGCAAATTCGGGGCAAACATCAAGTTCGTCAAGCTGTCACTCGTGTCAACCATCGACGTGCCCTTCCTGCGTTCTGCCATACTCTGATTAGGTGAGCACATCTTTTTTGTTGCCGACCTTGGACGCTTACTAGCTAATGTCGTCTTGGACCTAGTGGACCTTGCAGGTGCATCCTGTACATCGTCACTAAGACTTTTCCATCTACTTGCCGACGTTGCAGTCAGTTCACTTGCTACATTGTCCTCATTTTCTTCCTTCTCCTTCTCTGTTAAATGCTGCAATTCCGATGTCTCGAGATTGTTTCGGATCACAAGTAAACTGCTTTTCTGCTTCTTCTTCTCCTCTCGATTTTGCTCACCCTCGTCTTCTTCAGTACGTAATAAAGCCTTTAGAGCCTCTGGACTCACTGTATCTCGTCTTGAAATGGCCATATCCAATGCCTCTTCTTGCAATTGAAATAACGCTGCCTTAGATGGAGATAAAGTGCAGCGTCTCTCCTCATTCAATGACAGCGTATCTTTCTCCACCTTCCGCTCCTGATCTTTATCAATATCATTTACTCTATCATTCTCCTTTTCCTTGTTATTAGTAGCCCTAGAGGACGCTCCATCCAGTATCGTCTTGGATATTCTATGAGCCATAAGTGACACGTTGAAAGCTTTATCCTGAAGCTGATTCGCGGCTATTTCACTCGAAATTTTGTGCTGATGTTGACGAGTATTGATAGATTCATCTTGTTCTACTACTGATGTAGGTAGAGCGTATGCCGCGTCGTCAGCGTCAGCGTCATCCATAGGGGCCTTTCCGCGCGCGGGGTCTTTGACTGCTTCTTGAATTTAGAAAACCTCGGACCTGGAATAAAACCTCAATGAGGATATGGATTCAATATAATGTGGTAGGACATAGTGTATCCATCTGACGAAAGCACTGGCTGTGCTGTACTCTGTGGTGTATTATGACATGTGTCAGACTCGAACAGACATTACGACGGAGACAGAGAGAGAGAAGACATGACGGATAGTAGCGATGCTAAACTAAGGCGTAAGAATGACAAGAAAGATAAGAAGGCCGCGCAAAAGATTCAAGAAACAGCGACTAGGAAGAAAATCGTAGTGACCGAGCAGAAAGAGTCGATTATACTGAAGAAAAACAAGCAGAATAAGAAGCATAAGCGCGTTTGTGACGAGATTGAGTACGATGTTGACAGTTCAAAGAAGCTAAAGAAACATAAGAAGAAGAAGGATAAGGAGCACAAGAAGAATGACAATGACGAAGCACGCAATACGGACTTTTCGAATGATCCATACCAGCAACCAGCAGCCAAGGACGGTAGCTTTAAAAAGGCTTTTTATATGGAAGGTAACGACACAGCTAAGATGACTAACGAAGAGGTCTCAACTTTTCACGAGGCTAATCAAATGATTCTTAGTGGTAACAAATGCCTCTACCGTCCCGTGCTGAGCTTTGATGACGTCACGTTTGAGTCCAAGTTCATGAAAACTACCAAGGGCTTTGATAAACCCACACCAATCCAGAGTCAGTGCTGGCCTATTTTAGCTTCAGGACGTGATATCATTGGTATCGCCGAGACGGGATCGGGTAAGACATTGGCGTTTGCCATCCCAGGTCTGATCCATATTGCTGCTCAGCCTGAGTTGTCGCCCAAGTTTCCAGGACCGCGCATGCTCGTAGTAGCACCTACGCGCGAACTTGCAATGCAGAGTTCGGCAGTGATTGTGGAGGCTGGGAAGAAGTGCGGACTCAAGTGCGTCTGCATTTACGGTGGTGTGCCCAAGCAGACGCAAAAGAAGGCATTACGAGACGGCGTGCACGTCGTGGTGGCAACACCTGGTCGTCTGAAAGACTTGATTGAAGAACATTCGTGCAACTTATCCAAGGTTACGTTTATGGTGCTTGACGAGGCTGACCGTATGCTTGACGAGGGTTTTGAAAAGGATATTCGCGCAATAATTGGCGGCACTCACCCGGAACGCCAAATTGCCATGTTCAGCGCAACGTGGCCTCAGTCGATTCAAAAACTGGCCCATGAGTTTCTTACTGATCCCGTAAAGGTAACGATTGGTTCAGATGAACTGGCTGCCAGTCACAACGTCACACAAATTGTTGAAGTCATCGATGACCGTGCCCGTAATGCCCGTGTCCACACTCTGCTGCAGGAATACCACTCGAGCCGCAAGAACCGCATCTTGCTGTTCGTGCTATACAAGAAGGAGGCCGATCGCGTTGAACGTATGCTACACCAACGTGGCTGGACATGTGTTGCCATTCACGGCGACCGTAATCAACACCAGCGTTCCGAGGCTGTTGAACAGTTTAAGTCTGGCAAGGTACCTTTGCTGATTGCTACGGATGTTGCTGCTCGCGGTCTTGATATTCCTGGTGTCGAATACGTTTTGAACTATTCATTTCCGCTAACAATTGAAGACTACGTGCACCGAATCGGTCGCACAGGTCGTGGTGGTAAGAAGGGAACGTCTCACACATTCTTCACCGCTAATGACAAGCCGCGTGCCGGTGAGCTTGTGAATCTGCTGCGTGAAGGTAACCAGGAGGTACCATCGGATTTGATCAAGTTTGGTACGCATGTTAAGAAGAAAGAGCACAAGCTGTATGGTGCTTTTGCCAAGAACATTGACGTCACAAAGAAGGCGACTAAAATTACTTTCGGTGATGATGACGAGTGAGTTTATTGCATCGGCACAATTGTTTGAGATATTGTCGATGGTATTAGGTTAGGTTCCAAGTGAAGGGAGATCCTTTTTGCTATATATAGTCTTTAGATTGCTTCGATAAGTTGCACTGTGTGAGCCCGGTAAAATGCAACATTCTTTGTGCACATTTTAAAGAACTCTTACGACCCAGAGCTCGCTATTGTCCGTCATCGCTTGAGTAGTCTTCAGTCAACAATGCTGTTGCAGAAGACTTTTTCGACAAAGGCCATGAGACGTCGTTATCTTCTATCTGCTTCTCTAGCGAGTTCCGAGTGTCATCGACCTCAGGAGCGTTCCGAGTCAAGATTGGCGTCTTCTTAGCCTTCTTGAATTTTCTCTCCTTTACATCCGTCTTGTTCTTCCTTTTCTTGACTTTGACCACCACTCCGGCTGGTTTTTCAGGAGACAAGAAGGTCTTTTTTCTTGTACCCTTTGGTATTTCAAACATTGTTGGCTTGAGCGCATGCGCTTTCGAAGCGTTTGAGCGGAAGATCTGTAGTGCTACGTTCACCGTCAGCTATACAAACACGATAGACAATACCATTTATTGTATCCATCTACTCTATTACCGGCTTGACGTTCTATGTGCTCTCTGTTCTTAGCCTCTTGCTCCAAAAGTGTCTGCTCCACAAGATACATGCGGTCCGATGCATCTAATAGCCCACGACCACCCCCCAGCATGATATTTTCATCCTTAATAACCATCTGTCGTTCTTCATCCGTTAACGTATTTACTTCATTAAATTCGATTCGTTGAGAAGGTCCTCCACCGGTCATTGCCAGTCGTCGTAGTGCATCGGCATTCTGATTCGCAGGGTGCCATGATGGAACGTCCATCGGACCTTTTGGATTCTAAAATAGGACTGGACTGAGTTTGTTATCCTGTGAGATTTAATACACAACTAGGTTCGATTTTACATGAGGTATGTCATTTGTAGGTTAATTTAGCCTCCTGAGATTAAATACCTTGTCCAAATCGACATGTTGTCAGTACAGAGTCATTTGTTGTTTGCCACTCGACCACCATGACATTGATACTATTCGTACTACCATCTATCATGGCTATGTGGACCGTGCAAGCTACAAATAGTACGGAGCCTCCAATACAGCGCAATGGATGGTATCCATGTTCACATAACTCTTTATATCGTGATGATAGCGTAGACCAGGGCTATTCTGATCTCTATTATATGGATACATCTAGCTCCTTTAATATTCGACGGAGAGCAAGTGCTAGAGCTGCAAAAAAACAGACAATGACGTTGTCCGTACCCTTCCTGCAACAATCGTTTGATCGGCTGTATCATCAGTATCCTGAATGGAAAAAACACACAGTACAAAATCAGCAAAAACACCAGCACAAGACGTTCCATGGCAAAAAACTTGGACATGATATTACATTGGACATTGCCCAGTACGAGTGTGCTGAGTTTCGTGTACCCATGTGCTATAATAACATATGTGAGAGTACCAATACCATTGATATTTTTGTCAAACGTGTAGTGGCTATGAAGACTCGAGATGAAGGAAAAGAAAAGGCACTCTGGGTGTTGCAAGGAGGTCCAGGAGCTTCTTCCACAGGCGTTGAAAGTCTGATGAATACGATGTTCTTACAACTAGAAAGACAAGTCAGTGTGTATACTTTTGACCACAGAGGAACGGGTAGAAGCGCTAGATTGCAGTGTCTTGCAGCACAAGCAGGAGCATTGGGCAGTCCAGGAGGATCGGCCATTCGGCTGGATGAATTGCCTGCATGTATGGACGATATACGCTTTCAGATTGACAACCAGACAGCTGCTTTTTCTGTCACAAGCGCAGCGAAGGACTTGGCGGCCATAATTGACTATGAGCTTAGTGACCAGGATGTCTACGTGTATGGTCTCAGTTATGGCACCTACTTGACCGAGAGACTAATGCACTTTCCTCCATCAAGTGTGCGTGGTTTTTCAGTGGACGGCATTGTTTCCGAAAGCGGAAAATCGGTGGAAGAACGGTCTACGTTTTCGAATTGGGACCGTGATGTCGGCATCGTGGGAGATCGGTTCCTCGCTGCCTGTATGGTAGATGAATTTTGCAAGAGTAAATTCTCAAATGTCACGGACCTTGCAGCGTTCGTACATGAGTTGTACAATAAACTTGATGCTGCTGTGACCGATGGCAGCAGTGGTACGAAGGCCTGTGCAGAGGTCTTGGCTAAGAACGGCAATAAACCTTCTTACTTGCTGCGTTCTGCTTTCGGTGAATATCTCATGTCGGACCGCATGCGTATCGCGATCCCAGCTGTGATATACCGTGCATCTCGCTGTACTGATGAAGACGCCGATGCTCTTGCTTATTTTGCGGAAGGATTCATCGCTTCCAAAGACGACCGTGAATTTGGTGATCCTGAGCCAGAGGCTTTGCTTTTTGACTCGGACATGCTTTACTACCTGATTGTGTTTTCCGAGATGTGGGAAACTCCCACACCAGATAAGGCGACGCTTATTAATTGGTACGAAAACTCCACGATGGCGTCGGACAATTACCTATCACTCCCCTACTACTGCATATTTACGGGCAGTCGAGAACATGCATGCCAGGAGCTGGTTCATCTCCCTGTGGCTCGACCTTTGGTATACGAGCGTGACCAATATTGGAACACAACACCTGAACTGCCTCATGGTGTCACTGCATTGCTTATGACGGGTGGGATGGATCTGCAGACACGACGTATGTATGGCGAATTAGAGTACGAAATGATGGCCGGTGAACGGATGCTCGTGAATTTTGACGATGCTGGACATTGCACGACTTTTACAACCCCAACGAGCGACGGTGGTGTGACCTGCGGCGTACGCATTTTGACGTCTTACGTGAAAGAAAATGGTGTGTTGAAGAACGTGGACACTAGCTGTATGAACAATCTCAACCCAATGAAATTTTTAGTAAACAGTGTTGATGCCCAAGAAGTTTTCGGCACGAGCGATTTGTATGAGAATGTGAAGACAGATTGGTAAGGCTAGAGTTGAAGAAGGCAGAAATCGATGGATATGGTCGTGGCCATCGTGCAGGTGTAAAATCGGTCACAGGACAACTTCAATGCAAGACTGCGACGTTTTATCTATTTAACTTGTACTCTTTTATTTAACGAGCCTTTGTTATTTTGCGATTCCACAGGCACGTTGCAGGTATAGATTGTTTATATGTCGACATTCGTCACTTTTGTCAAGTCACTTTAAATCAATGTGTAAAGTATAGTAAACCCATCCACACCGCTGCAACGTTCAAAACCTAGGCCCATGCAAGGACCGCCATACGAAAAAAAATCTAGTATATCACCAAAACTGGTTGGACACGACCAATATTATCAAGGACTTAAGCAGTATGAAATGCCATGCGTTGGCATTGCTCTATGATTGGAATGAGGCCTTAGCCTGGCAAACTTATTGATTCGCTCTAGTCTTCAATCGTGATAAGAACTTGCACTTCCTCCGGGGACCCTTGGCTGCTCATACGGAGTTTGCGCATCACCTCGTACGTGATGGCACCCAGAATAAGCACTCCAATTATGATAAGAATAACAACTTCACTCAGTGACCATGGGACATCAACATCATTGCCACCAGCCTCTAGATCAAGCTCTTTCTTGCGTGACAAAACTGCTTCTTGATCCCACCTATCTAGGCATTTGGTCGTTGCAAGATGTGCAAACCATTCTACTACTGGATGCAAATTGCAAGGAAGGCCTTGCGTCGAACTAGAAGTAAAGTTTACGTACTGACCAAAGTGTAGACTGTAAGAGCCATGCTCGTTGTTGTCTAGGACCGACTGCGCAGTGAATCCAATAATCGGGATCTTTTCCTCCACGATCGCTTTGTACAATTGCCTTATGTAGACCTGGAAGCAGCGAAGCTGTCCCAAAGTGTCAATCTGATTAGTCTTACACCAACTTGTCTCTGTGAGCAATATTTCCGTCGAGCGATCTTTCTCATGCAGCCACCTGATGGTGGCGAAGTAACTGTCCGGACAACCAGGACGCCAGGAGCTCCCCGGGCTGCTCGCAGGAAGCATACGAGGACCATTATGTACTGGTGTCTCATCTGTTTCTCTCTCACTATCGTAAGCCTGCGGGAGTTTGCCGCAGGATCTCTCAGAGTACTTTAAGCAGAAGTTATAATTGTTGAGCAGAAACACATCATACGATCCCTTGACCAGTGCAGCCTCGTCGGAGCTGAACGTCGGAAGTCTGTTACCGATACGCTCACGCATGATTGCTGGATAATCACCAGTAGCAATCGGCATTAAAAGCCAACCGAGGCTGAACTGCATTTCCAGCTCTGCCGCTTCCGCGTTCAAAGCGTCTGACTCATCAAGCGGGTAGCCGAACTCGGTACTCAACATGATGCCAATGCGAGCACCAGCAGCGATGACATTCCTTTCATCTCCTTTCAATGCACGGAAAACTGCTACTGCTCTAGCATGTGACAGCAGCACGTTGTGTGCCACCGTGTATATATTCATGTCCGACGGCTTCTTTGCGCCAGAAACAACATCACGCGAGCCGTACTTGCCGCTAATGAACGTCAACGGCTCGTCAAATGTGGCCCAGTACTTGACCTTTTTTCCAAATTCTCGGAACGCTAGCTCCGCAAAGTCTTCAAAGTGTGTTACAATGTCTGGATTCAGCCAGCCGGTTGGCTCCAGTTTTGTCTGCAACATTAACGGTAGATTGAACTGGTAGAGTGTTGCAATTGGTTGCAGTGCCTTTGCCTGCATATCGTCAAGTAAAGCGTGATAGGACGTAAGGCCTTGAGGATTGGGCTCCATTCTCCTTGTTTCTGCATTCCAGATCATGATTCTTGACCAAGAGATAGAAAACTGGAAGGACGACAGCCCCATGTCACTCATGCGCTGTATGTCGTCACGGTAGTGATGAAAAAAGTTTTCACTCATGTCGTCGTATTGTAGATTGTACTGCGAGTAACAGAAATGATCCCAATTGCCCAAGTCTTGACTGGAAACATTCCAAGCGGGATATACAGCATTGATCATACCAAAGAGAGTATTGGATGGAAAACAGCGCACTTCGGAGGCTTCAATTGGAGCGATAATGCAAAATATGATGACATCAAGACACATAAACAGAAGGAGAGAGTGCAGCATGAAGACTTATAGTGGAACGAAAGGGTGAATGATCAATTATTTGACCGGGGTCGGGGTGGTGAAGAGGTATGACATATACCGGTACTCAAAACCGGTATTTATAATTCATTCATGATAAGAAAGATCAAGTGATCGAGAGACTGATTGTCAATCAAAAATTGTGGATATTAAACAGACTGAAATCAAATACACACTCAGATCGTTTTTTGACAAGCAATCAACAAATAGCCCTGTCGCCAACCCCTTTACTTCTCTTTTTGCCGTGTCGAATCCACCTGGAAGCGCTAAAGCAGAAATACCCTCCCTCTCTCCAAGCCCCTTTCACTGCAATAATATGGACGTTAGTATTGCATCAATGTCGCCGAAAACATCAGTGGCAACTTCCAGTGTCGGTGGATGATAATCTACCATCTCTCACACAGAACACAGTTGCGTGTCCGCGGAAGGCTCTTCGAATCTCCATTGAGCCCAAGGCCGTGAAAATATCTACAGAATCCATTGGAGGTATGGTTCTGCAGCGGCAAACTGTATTCGCACCAGAAATGTGAGGGGTTACACAAAGGTGTGTATTGTACACCTGCCACATCATTGTGGCTGTACTTTGGGTACACTGGTAGGTTAATGTTGAAGTACCTAAGGTACATAAGCTCACAGCGTGGCAGAGAGCCACGTGGTCATAATACTGGGTTTAAGTATATGAATACATGTGTGTATATATCAAGAAAGCTACAAGTCCAGATAAATAGCGACTAGCACTTAGTATAGAGTAGATGTTTCGGTATCTGGTACTCGATGATGAACATTAAATTAATCATTTTAAAACCTGCTCTGAATAGCAATAGTTTCTAGTGCATTAGTCCCTTCTATAAAGGAAGTTGTATCCTGGATAGTGTGAGACGTGGTTGTTACAATCAAAATGCATAGGCTTGTAAAGCTAGCCTTGGGAGGTTTAAGAGCCCTAATACATACAGCTCTTGGAGCTTGTTTTCCTCTGCACTTAGCGCATAAATAACTTTGATACAGTAGCTCTACTAAACTATTGAATTGGCTTTGTAGCCTTCTTGATACATGCACATATGTATTCATAATACTTAACCAAGTACTATGACCCCGTGACGATGTGAACCCATTGAATCTCAGGTACGGTTATTTATCAACTAATGGACCCGAAGCACAGCCACAATGGTGTGGCATGTGTTTATGTATAATACATACCATTGTTCAACCCCTTTACAAAATGAACCCCATAACAGAGTACATGTGTTTCGATAAAGTGGGCAATTTGACGAGATGTAGAGTTGGTGGTTAATTAATATACAGTGAAAAGGATCTGCTAGACGTAGTTGCACTTGTGCAGTAAAAGTAGGAAGTAAAAGTCATATGTATCGAGTGTTTACTACCCTTCGTTGTCAACTCTACCATATGCAGTTTGATGACCAGTACTGCAACTTGACCTAATCAAGGTACACCTGGTACACATCCACGGTCAATGGACTCTCGGCCCTGGTCCCTGCAGGTCGATCTTGGTCCTTCGTCAATGTACCTCGGCTCTTCGTAGATAGACCTTCGTCCTTCGGTCGATGGACTCTCGGCCTCGGTCCCTGAAGGTCAACCTTGGTCCAGAGTTCCAGATGCCCTAGCGAAATCGAAACAAGAATCAGGTCTCAAGGTAAAAATTGAGTAAAGAGTTAAAAGATAGGACTACATTAAATACTACTTAATTTACGATCCACATATAACGCCTCCATCGTGCTTTTAAGGTAATTACTAAGTCTACCTACCTGTTCCGGGAAGGGATGCATTTTGACCCCCCCGTCAAAGCCAGTTGCGTGGTAAGACCCAAGTGCGAATAGAGCCCCAGGGTATATTCGTCCTGTGGCTTCGTCTGAGTAGCACTCCCCAAATCAACCCGCTATCGGAAGCGGTCTTCCTACCTTAGTGCTCTGGGGCCAAATAAAGGTCAGGCGGTTAACACCCTTGAGATATCAAGGAAAAGGAAGGAAAAGGCCAGGGTTGAGAATCTCCTCTGAAGAATTTGGTTATAAGTCCAGCCTCGACCTAGTCGACCGAGTGGCCACCTTATCGCCTACCGAGTGAAGTATACCCACTCAAAGGTCGACTTTTCTCAAGGCCGACACCACATCTTAACCAAGTCCTCCGAAGAGTACACCGCCAGCCGACGGGTACACAAGGTGAGAGAAGGTCTATGCGCGGCATCAGGGTACCCCTTCCGACAGTCAGTGTCCGGCAAAGTGAGTGGATTGGGGTCTCATTACGCAGTTTTGAGAACCCACTCGACCACAATGGTGCGCGTGCCCGGATCTTTGGAAGACGCGGGATATCACCTCGAGTCTTACAAGCAAAGATAAAGGAAAAGACCGAGGAGTCACTGGAAGACCGATCGCCAGTGACTACACAATAAAACAACAAAGGATTGAAAGACCGACCGGACCTTGGGAGGGGCCCGGGCAAGATGGTCAAGGTTTGAACTAATCGAAGAGAAACCGAAATATTCTTCCTATGTCCTCCTCAAGGACACCTTGGGTCATGATATCTATCATGCCCCATAGGACAAGGAATCGAAGGCGCAAACCGATAGACTATTGCCCTCAATAACTAAGAACATACAAAAACTACAAAAAATACGATCGCCATGTCCAAGCCGAACAAGCTCCGGATAAAGGCACCCGGTAGGCCCCTCGATCCCAGGACCTTAGTCCTGGTCGGATGCGGACGTGACCATGGCCTACCATCGACTCAAGCTTGACGCGTTCCTGGAGAGTAACCCCATCACCAGAGTCCTCGAGATCCGACTGCTGGGTCAGCTCAGTGACCTGTGTCGATCCTTCCCAAGCTGAGGACGGTGACCGACGCAATCACCGCACTCGTGACCCTTCTGCGCAAGGTGGTTATGGTCGCAGGAAGGTTCGAGCCTGAAGACTTATTTTCTCTGGGGTTCAACAATATCAAGACCACGTTAGAAATCCTACACAAACTTCTGGGTATCCTGGTGGGAACAACCCCAATACTACTCGACTCACCTCCTACTACCACCGCAAAAGAACCGTCTGACGACATCCAGATAACCCTGCAAGATGTCGAGGTCCACCCTCGAGACCAATGGTCGACCGGGGACCCATGGTCTATGCGAGGTCTATCACATACTACCTTGCCTCAGGGTCCTTAGGTCTCTGAAAGGCAATCATCGCAAGAGTCGCCCGTCGCTAGTCAAGTGGGCCGAATGCCACTAGGACCGACTGACATGCCGCTGCTGCAGGCCCGGCCGGAGAGCGCGGACGACGAGCAGCGAGCTTACGAAACGGCAACGTTTGTACAGCCAAGGGAAAGTCGGGCTTCTGGTAGGTCAAATTTTCAACCAATTAGGAATGAGTCAAGACCAGTACCGAATTATACCTCGTCACGTGACGAAGGTGCCCGGAGAGGAGTGTCTACCAACCCGGTAGGTAATTTACAAGCATACTTCGACGCGGCGATGGCGAAATTCTTACAAGAACGCCAAGCACCGCAAAAACACACATCGATGGAAGTACGGCAGGAGGACGACAGGGTGCAGAGGTCAACGGTCCAGCTGGGCCCAAGTGTGCAGGTATGAAAGTTGCAAGAGACCAAGGAATGACCGACGTGGAGGTGGAAATCGGTCGGTTCGTGTGAATAAGACCCAGATGACATGGACCTCGATGGACCTCTGGCAAGAATGGCCAATGCCACCCTGGGACTGGTGCCTAACATGGTTCCTCGTATTAAGCTCTCAGCGACCTCGGATCTCAAGGAGTTTCATGGTAAAAACCAAGATGAGGGCCGAGCACGCAGCTGGGTGACCACTGTGAAGACCGCGTTCACGAGGGACCAAGCGCCAGATGGGGAAAAGTGTCTCGTTTGCGGAGGATTATTGACTGGACCTGCCCATAACTGGTATTGTCAACTAGATCGCTCTGTTCGTGGAAATTGGAAGGATTTGTTACAGGAATTTCAGAAGCAGTTCTGTGGTTAG